GTTGGTGAATTTAGGTATCCTACGGTACACTTTCAATTATTACACATTTGAACAAAAATCAAACTATTAAATAAATAAACAAATAATAAAAGAGAAATTCTATGATAAATACCATTTTTAAAATAATTCGGGGACTTACTTTAATAATAAAATATTATATTTATATTATAATAAAAGATATAAATAAAATTTAAAAATAAAATAATATTAGTTTAATTGTATGTGAAGAATGAGATTGAGAAGGCAGAAAAAGAAAAGAGATGGATGAGTAGGTTGTGTTGGGAAAGTAACGTTGGAGAACAACAGAAGCCATGTGGAAACCCTCTCCTACAGAAGGAGAAGCAGAGGCACCAAAGGCACCACCCAACAACCTGATCCCGTCCCTTCCAGACGACGTCGCTTTGAACTGCATAGCACGCATCCCTCGCTGCCACCACCCAATCCTATCCCTCGTTTCCAAACCCTTCCGCACCCTCCTCTCTACCCCTCTCTTCTTCACCACGCGCTGCCTCCTCAACTGCACGCAACCCCTCCTCTACCTCACTCTCCGCACGCCCGCCTCCTCCCTCCAGTGGTTCACGCTCCACCGCACAGTCCCTAGCCCCCTCTTAACGCCGCTCCCCCCAATTCCCTCCCCCGCAGTGGGCTCCGCCTACGCCGTCCTTGGCTCCACCATCTACGTCCTCGGCGGCTCCATCAACGATGTCCCCTCCCCCCACGTCTGGCTCCTCGACTGCCGTTTCCACCGCTGGCTTCCGGGTCCAAGCATGCGTGTCGCTCGGGAGTTCGCCGCCGCGGGGGTCCTCGGTGGAAAGATTTACGTTCTCGGTGGCTGCGTCGCTGACACGTGGGCCCGCTCCGCCAACTGGGCGGAGGTCCTAGACCCCGACGTTGGGCGCTGGGAGAGGGTGGCCAGCCCCTCCGAGGTCCGGGAGAAGTGGATGCACGCCAGCGCGGTCGTCGGCGACAAGGTGTACGCGATGGCGGACCGCGGCGGCATCGCGTACGAGCCGCGCAGTGGATCGTGGGAGAGCGTAGGCGGAGAATTGGATCTCGGGTGGAGAGGTAGGGCGTGCGTGGTGGAGGGTATTTTGTACTGCTACGACTATTTGGGGAAAATCAAAGGCTTCGATGTGGGGCGCGGGGTGTGGGAAGAGTTGAAGGGGTTGGAGAAGGGCTTGCCTAGGTTTCTTTGTGGGGCCACCATGGCTGATTTGGGTGGGAAATTGTGTGTGGTGTGGGAGTGCCAAGGCAATGGGAAAGAAATGGAGATTTGGTGCGCTGAGATTGGAGTGCAGAAGGATCCAGATGGGAATCTGTGGGGTCAACTTGGTTGGTTTGGGAAAGTTCTCTCTGTTCCCAAAGGCTCCTCTGTTGTGCATTGTTCTTCTGTTTCCTTGTGACCTTTCTCTTGTAAGCATTCTTTAAACTTTACTTTGAATTCCTGCCACTTTATCTCTTATAAGTTTCTTTGGTGTTTGGTCTGGTGGCATTTATCGCTCCAGTGTTTGTGCCATTGTTTGTGAAGTTGTGAATAACTCGAGCTGCTCAACTAGCAGTGCTGCTGTAAGTAAATCTACTGGTGCCAGTTATTCTGGTAATGCCATGAAATGTATATCTATACCTGTTTATTATCTCTCAATAAAATATTTCCTTTCATTTTTGTACACTCAGTTTCTTTAGCCAGGAAACTATAATCTGGTTTAATTTAAACCAATCAGTTCCAAGAATACCTATCTTCTAGCACATTTATTTAGGAAAATTTGTATTCTGGTTGCAACCCAAATTCATGCATTCACAATATTTGGTCCTAAATGTTCAACACAATTCTTGTCAAAATGTGCTTACACAAATTACGCCTAAACACTAAATATGTGTTCTGCATCTTGTTGGTGTATGCATCATTCTTTTTCCAAACAGAAAGATACAGGTTATTAGCATGCTATAATTATCAGTGATGCAAAGTTGGATTCTTTGCTCAAGAAGTTAGTTTGTCAAGAAGAGCGAATTAAAATGAAACACAGAAGGAGATGGACAGGAAGTGGCAGATCTCCACTGTCATCTCCATTGACAGTGCCCTATACACTTAGAGCTTAACAGAAATCTGAAAAAATAAAGCGATCTGAATTTTCATGCTTGGCCTGAACAATCTTTCAACACTAAATTTAAAGACTAAATTCATTTCGATGAATTATTTTATGAGATTTTAGTTTACTCTATATATAAATTTCACTGTATATTTTTAAGGCTTTTCTTTTAAGTTATACTTTGTGGCAAGAGTTTTATAAAATCTATATTTTTATGATTTTATAAATTTCTTTCACCGCACAGCATATAAAATAAATAATATTCCAAATAAAAGTACACCAAAGGGATTTTCAAGATAATCACTAATCATTTTACCATCATTTAGGTTGTGTTTACTTCACTGCGAAATAAATTGGTGTTCGTTTCTTGTGATACAAGATGATGGAATTGGATTGATTAGCGAGATACAGGAGTTTTCAAATCTTCGCAGAAGTGCTAAGCTTTGCAGTGATTTCAATTAAAATGTTATATTTGTCCTCCTTCATTTGTGAAATACTATGTATAAAATAACACGTACAGAAAGAATGATGGGTGAAGACAAAGGCAGCAGTGGTTGAAGAGGCTGAAGAGGAAGAATGAAGCCCGCCAAAGCATGGTGTATTTGGTTATAGAAGATGAGTATTTTGTTCTTCTTGAACAAGGAAAATTGAATGCCGGCTTATTCGGTTCTAGGATTGTGTATTGGGTTCCCCTACATGCGTATCCGATTTCGCTTCATCAATGCATCAGTGTATTCGGTTCCGCCGCAACTTGTATTCGGTTCCAACCATCTTTATTCGATTTTCAGGTCGTGCATTTGGCAAGTGGAGTGGTATATTGGTCTTCAAGGCTGAGAACAAAGCATAAAGAGCTCTTATCTGAGTCCAAGGAGATGGACAAGTTTGAGGGCACGTGGAGGCTCTTCAAGCTTGCAGTTCCACTTGATAAGATCTCGGCAAGGACCTATCCATGTTTCTGATAGCAAATTGCCAAAGTTCTTAAGTTCTCGGTACTCAACAAAACCCACCCTTCCACCTAAGAGAAACCAATAAAGAAATATTTTTTAATTTTCATTCCCTTCTCTCTTTCTTATGTTGCTTCTCTGTTGCGTGCAGAAGCTTTCATCGTCGTTAGGAAGTCTTTTGATGCTAGAAAAGTGTGTTATAATATCAGTTGTTCAATGACAAACTAAAATTCACTCTTCAATATGCATTTCATTCCTTGCTCTCGTCGTTTAAAACAAATTTGAGAGAGGAAAAGAGACAATATAGGTTAAATGGAAAATGGGGTGGGCATTGCCTGGAATAGTGGGGTGGCTGATTGAAATAGAGAGGCCTCCATAATCCAATGTATTAATCTTTTATAACAATTGCAGTTGTACATGGAATTTGAACTTTCTAGTCATAATAATTAGCTCGAGGTTTGAAATATTTGATTGTAGTAATTAATGTTTGGAATGGTCTTGTGCAATGGTTAATTATTTGTTAGGATTAGTGTATGTATTAGATGTTTTGTATTTCAATTCTTTGGTTATGACTTGTGCGTGTCAACGAGAAGATTATGTGAAATTATATTACAAAAATATTACATTTAAAAATAAATTCAATTTACTAAATAATAATTTTTGTACATTTTTAAAATTAATTTTATTAATTAATGTTAATTTTTTACTCTTTATAAACAATTTTACAATTAAATATAATATTAACAATAATCATTTTATATTACTTTAATAACTAAGGCTATTTTGGTAATATTCAATTTTTACTAATTAAACAAATTTCTTTTATTTATTACATCAATCAAATTAGACCTGTCAAGTAAGCCCCTTTGATAAGATTTGGCCTTAGTCCATGTGGGTTGGGGCCAAAAAACCCACAGAGCCAAAAGAAACCCTTCATTAAAAAAGTCACATGGCTAAAAATCCCTAAAACCCTATGGGCCAGGGTAGTCCATGGGCTTTCTTTTTTACAAAATTTACATTACAATTTTCAAACTAATCTAATGATTTAAACAATTCAATTTCATCTCAATTCTCAAGTTTGGACCTCAAAGCAAGATAAACAAAACATAGACAAATATCAACAGACGACCATGTTGCCACTTATGATTGAGATATGGTAATCTATCTGTAAACCTAGGGGAAATCAAAATATACTAAATTATATAACCAATACTGTCAAAACAAGTATCTATCAACTGCCAAGGAAGAAACTAAATTAATACTTCTGCAACTAGCAATAAGTACTGGTCATTATAACATGGATATTGGTGGAAGACCAAACACACTACAAGAAATTACATTATACACAATCACCTCCTAATTAATTATGAAAAAATCGCCTTGATTATTGTGAAATCTCCCCGAGTTCAATCACTGTCTTCTTCATCTGCATAAAACAGAGAACGTTAAGGACGACCGATTCACGAAAAGGCAAAATCCAAGTAACACATCACATATAGAAGATAATTCACCACATTTTAAGATTAGAAAATTAATCTCTCGAAGCTGAATTTTGATCGTTATCTTATGCATTAATCATATTACAACCTACAAATTTCATGCTCTAATATCAGTAACAAGATCCATAACACTTCACACAATATTAGTATATCAAATCAAGTATCACATCAGAATTGTCTAAAATACAAGAAGATGCCACACCTTTTTACATGTCGGGGAGTCTCACATCCTAGCTCAACTTCTGGAATGCGACTTACAATATGTTGGACAACTTTTGCTAAATGCCAATTGGTTTAAAATGAAATTTGACATTACAAATCATATTGAAATCTAAAGGACTAGCATTATAAACAATAAATAAAAAATTTAATAATTAGAAAGTAAATTAAAGTTGCCTGTGATCACTTTCACTGCCCACAATGTTGAAGACCTTCAACATCTTCTAAAAGTTTAGACTCATCAATTTCCTCATGACCAAAAATATCTTCAACAATTTCATCTATCACAAGCAATTGAAATACAATCAAACAACTAGTTTAGAATTAATAATTTAATGTAAAGTAACTTTAAAAATAAAAACATATACACTTACCACTAGGATTTTCAAAAAATCCATATAGCCAATTTTGAGTACAAATAAACATTTGCACTGAAAGAATAGAGCTTCTATATTTCGAAAGTACACGCCCACCTTTGCTAAAAGCTGACTTTGATGCCACTGTAGTAGTAGGAATACTAAACACATCTCGAGCCATTATAGACAATATGGCAAACTTTTTCTCATTAGTCTTCCAATATTTGAGCACATCAAAATCTTCACCGTCTTCATCATCATCTATTGTTGGTTCATCAAAATAAACATCTATCTCATTCTTTCCAATGATAGATTTTGATCCATTCTGATACATTTTAAAATCCTACAATGCATTACATATTAATTATCAAAAACAAAACTAGAAAAACTGAAAATAAAAATAAAATTGAACACTAAATATAAAATTCTTACTGAAACAATCCTTGATCTCTTAAACTTTTTCCATTCAGTATTGGACTGAGACATCAAGATGGATTCAGTAGGTGATTGGGAAAGAGAAACACTAGAGGTAGACAAGTCCTTTACATATTCTTTAAATAACCTCTTGAACTTCTCTAACACTTTCTTTGTTTTCTCTGCATAGGTTAGAGGATCCAATTTTTTACAACAATATGTTATAAAATTAACCTTTAGTCATGGATCAATAATAGCTCCAAAAGCTAACCCAATACTATACTCCTTCCAATACTTTTGAAACTTTTCTTTCATATTACAAGTCATTTCCTTTAAGATGACATCTTCATTCAACAAATTTTCTTCAATGATGAGCTGAATTTTCCAAATTTGCATAAAATACAAGTTTGAAGTGGGATAAGATGAACCTGACATCATGTTTGTAATCTCATAAAATGGTTCTAAGAATTGTCATATTTTCTCTCCCCTATTCCATTCCTCAGAAGATGGATAATTTTTATAATTTCTATCAACCACTTTGAGAATTTCAAAAGCTCCCTTATATTTGATTGCACTTTCAAGCATTAAATAGGTTGAATTCCATCTTGTAGTTACATCTAATCTCAAACCCATGCTTATATTTATGTCAGCATCACTAACACATTCTTTGAATTTGAGAGTTCTTTCATCTGATGATTTAACATACTTAATACTCTCTCTAATACTATGGAGTGCTTTGTCAATCCATTACAAAAAATGCAGAAATTACTGGCGGCCCATTACAGACGGTCCTTAGGCCGTGGGTAATTCGGTGGTGATTTTAATTACCGACGGGCCTAGGTCGTCGGTAAGTATCAGGATAGATTAAAACCTAAATTTCTGATTTCCCTCTCCCATTTCGAGCTCGTCAACCAAAAGCCCTATTTCCCTCTCCCCTGCCAATCGTTTCCTTAGGCGCATTGTCTCACTGTAGCGGTTGTTCTCAAGCATAAGGGCGTCATCCTTTCTTCCCGCATTGTCGTCCTTCATTCGGTTTTTTGGCCTTCGGTATTTGATGGACAAATTTATGATCACCAAAATATGATGTCACAAACTTGTTTAACAATCGGCAAGTATGACCGAATCGTTTCAAGTAATAAACTCGGTAAGA